GTTTCCAGCTTGAGCCCAGGGAAGCCATCATTGACTATATCTCACAGCGGCCCTTGGGGAAGGCAGCCAGTGCAATTGGGAAGGGGTTGCTGGGTAAAGGAAGTTCCCATCAGAAATTGTTAATGGTTTTGACTGGGCATGAATTTTCTTGAGTGGAGTCTGGAGGATGAGCGGGAGCTGCTGCAGATATGAGCAAGCACAAGCTGCTGTCAATGGAGTGGGCAGTTGGAGAGGGGCAAGGTCAAGTCTGAGAACCACCACTCCTATTCCCCACAATGGCTGTGGCAAGCCCCACCCAAGGAGAGTCTGACCCCAGACCCACCTAACCCTGCTTCAACCTGATGATTTTTCCCTACCTTCCCTGGTAGCCAAACACAAGACACTGAAACTCCTGGGAGTTTTATAGCCCTAACTATCACACAAGAAACCAAAATAATTACCCTGGCTATCTTAGGACAAGCTTAGAGCCTCCTACTACTATTGCAGCTGGTGCTCTCTTGAAAGTGTCACTGCCTGGCTGGAGGGCAACCAACTCAGTCCATTAAAGCAACTCAGGACAGAATAACCCTGACTCCAGGAAAGAGAAGACAGCACCTAATTCCACTGCCTGCAACATCCTGGCTTTGCAGAAGCCCTGAGTCTGTCCACATGACAACTTCACTGGTAGTATAACCAGCATTCAAGAAAGCCAGCACACTAAGCCTATCTACAACCAAGGATTATCACAGAGTCTACTTCACTTCCCTGCCACCTTCACAGAGCAGGAGCTGTTAGCCATGTCTTGGAGACCTGAAGACAGACCACCTCACAGGACTCTGCAGACATCCCCTGATACCAGCCCAGAACTTGATAGCCTAGTTGGGTGGCTAAACCCAGAAGAGCAACAATAATCACTGCAGTTAGTCTAGCTATGGGAAGCCCCATTCCTAGGGAAAGAAAGAGAGTACCACATCAAGGGATTATTTTCATGGGACAAGAAAATCTTAACAGGCCTTGAGTTTTAGACCTCTCCACTGAAATAGTCTAACCAAGTGATAAGGAACCAGAAAAGTAATTCTGGTAATATGACAAACAGGTTTCTATAACACCCCAAAACATCACATGCACTGGCTCACCAGTAATGGATCCAAACCAAGAAGAAATCCCTAAAGAGCCAGATAAAGAATTCAGAAGGCTGATTATTAAACTACTTAAGAAGATACCAGGGAAAGGTGAAGGCCAACTTTAAAAAGTTGTAAAAATATAGGATATGGATGAAAAATTATCCAGAGGCATATATATCATTAAAACAATAACAAGTTCTGGAAATAAAAGGCACACAGAGAAATACAAAATGCCCTGGAAAGCTTCAACAATAGAATGGAACAAGTAGCAAAACTCTTACAAGCCAGAAAGGATTGGAGTTCCATTTTTAGTCTACTGATGCAAAGTAATTGTCAGCCAAGAATTTTGTACCCAGCAAAACTAAGCTTCATAAATGAAAGACAAAGTATTTTTCAGACAAACAAATGCTAAGAGAATTTGCCATTACTAAGCCAGCACTACAAAAAGTGCTTGAAGGAGTTTTAAATCTTGAAACAAAACCTTGAAATACACCAAAATAGAATCTCCTTAAAGCATAACTCTCACAGGGCCTATATGTTTTTTCTCAATGGAGAAAAAAACAACAAAGTATTAAGGCACCAGCTAGCATGCAAATAGAAAGTACCTCACATCTCGATACTACCATTGAATATAAATGGCCTCAAAGCTCAACTTAAAAAATACAGAATGGCAGAATGGATAAAAATCCACCCATTAAGTATCTGCTGTCTTCAAAAGACTCAGCCAACATGTAAGAACTCACTTAAGGTAAAGGGGTGGAAAAAGATATCCCATGCAAATGGGCACTAAAAGCAAACAGGAGTAGCTATTCTTAGATCAGACGAAACAGACTTTAAAGCAACAACAGTAAAAAAGAGACAAAAAGGGACATTATATTTATCATTATAATGATAAAATGGATAGTCCAACAGGAAAATATCATAATCCTAAATATATATGCATCTAGCACTGGAGATCCCAAATTTATAAAACAATTACTACTAGACTTAAGACATGAGATAGATGAGGGACTCCAATATTCCACTAATAACACTAGGCAGCTCACCAAGGCAAAGTCAACAAAGAAAAAATGGACTTAAACTATACCCTAGAACAAATGTACTTAACAGATATTTACAGAACACTCTACCAAACAACTGCAGAATATGTATTCTTTTCTTCAGTATATGGAACATTCTCCAAGATAGACCATATAATGGGTCACAAAACAAGTCTCAATAAATTTAAGAGAAGAAATTATATCAAGTACACTCTCAGACCACTGTGAGACAAAGCTGGAAATTAACTCCAAAAGGAACCCTCAAAACTATACAAATACGTTATAATAAACAATCTTCTCCTGAATAATCTTTGGGTCAGCAATGAAATCAAGATAGAAATTTTTAAAAATTCCTTGAGCCGAACAATAATAGTGAGACAACTTACCACAGAAATACAAAAAATCATTCAAGGCAACTATGAACACCTTTACACATACAAACTAGAAAATCTAGAGGAGGTGGATGAAATATACAATTCTCCCAGATTAAGTCAGAAAGAAATAGGAACTCTGAATAGACCACTAACAAGTAGCAAGATTGAAATCATAGTAAAATAATTACCAAGAAAAATGCCTAGGACCAAACGGGTTCACAGCTGAATTCTATTAGACATCCAAAGAAGAATTGGTACCAGTCTTACTAAAACTATCCCAAAAGATAGTGAAAGAGGGAATCCTCCTTACATCATATTAATATCCCTGAAAAACATAGATGCAAAAGTTCTCAACAAAATACTAGCTAACCAAATTCAACAGCATATCCAAAAGATAATCCACCATGATCAAGTGGATTTTATACTGGGGATCGAAGGAATGGCTTAACATACACAAGTCAATAAGTGTGATATACCACAAAACAGAATTAAAAACAAAAATCCTATAATCATCTGTTTCCTCTTCTTTCTACTGGTTGGAGAACAAGGCTCATCCTCCTGGCATGCTTGGATTTGAATTTATTCTGATGGCATCTGCTCATGAACACTTCCTTTGGTGCTTTCTTAGAGATGATCCTGTCTCTTCCTTCCCCTCACCTCACTGTAGTTGTGTCAGGAAGAACAAAGTGGAGTCCCAGACGGCACAGACGGTCCTATTCAGAGAAGAGCCATGAAAGAACCTGCAGATTCACTTTCACTTCTATTTTTAAAAATATGATTTCCCTTCCAGTTTTCTAGAAATAAGATTATTCTTAAGTATTCTTTATGACATGTTTAGACAAAGTAACACATGTTTATTAAGACATATGCCTCATTGTCAGGTCTGCCAGGTATATTTTGATTAAGTGCTAAGATGGAGAAGCTTTAATTCTCCCAATGTTTATTGAATTGGTCCCCACTTCGTGTTCTGGTGGTGAATTGTCTAAATAACTAACTTGGCTGGGAGTGGTGGCTCATGATTATAATTCTAATAACTTAAGAGGTAGAGGTAGGAGAATTGCTTGAGGCCAGGAGGTTAAGGTCAGCCTGGGCAACATAGCAAGACTCCATATCTATGAAAATTTTTAAAAAGCAGTCAGCTGTGGTGGAGCATATCTATAGTCCTAGCTACTAAGGAGGCTTGAGGCAGGAGGATTACTTGAGCCCAGGAATTTGAGGCTGCAGTGAGCTGTGACTGCACCACTGCACTTGAACTTAGATGAGAAAGCAAGACTCTGTCTCTGAAGAGAAAGAGAACTAACTTAGTTTTATATCACATTATATATATGGCTGGCTCTGCCTTTAGTCTTGAAATGCCTGGAAGATAGAAACTATAGTTCATCTACCTTTGTCTCCTCACAGTGGTTCTGCCACTTTTGGACATTTTGCAATGTCTAGAAACATTTTGGTTGTTACAGCCTGGAGAGGGCATCTAGTGGGTAGAGGGCAGGAACCTGGTAGACACTCTACACTGCACAGAACAGCCCCTGCCCCAACAGGAATCACCCAGCCCAAATGTCAGCAGTATGAAGATCGAGAAAACTCACTTCAGCGTAACAGGCAGCATGGTATACATATTAAGAAATACCAGGCCGGGCGCGGTGGCTCACGCCTGTAATCCCAGCACTTTGGGAGGCCGAGGCGGGTGGATCACGAGGTCAAGAGATCGAGACCATTCTGGTCAACATGGTGAAACCCTGTCTCTACTAAAAATACAAAAAAAAAAAAAAAAAAAAAAATTAGCTGGGCATGGTGGCGCGTGCCTGTAATCCCAGCTACTCAGGAGGCTGAGGCAGGAGAAATGCCTGAACCCAGGAGGCAGAGGTTGCGGTGAGCCGAGATCGCGCCATTGCTCTCCAGCCTGGGTAACAAGAGTGAAACTCCGTCTCCAAAAAAAAAAAAAGAAATACCAATTTAATTTTTCATAGTGTGTTAGAGTGAAAGCAACAAATTTAATCCTGTACTATTTTATCTTTACTGTTCTCCTACAACAACCAGCTCATGTTATAAAACTCATAGTTTTGAAAAAGTAAGAGAAAGTTTTAACCCCTGAATTATCCTGCGGATGCTTATCAGAGTGAACAGTGCTGAGGGCTGGTCTTCATTTCACTGCTCCTTACTTTCCTTCAGGACTATGACCTGGTGCACACACGTATGTGCAAGCCTAATTACTCTGCCTTTATACTTAGTGATACTTTTGTCTTATTACGCATATTTTATTCTGTAACTATCTTATAGACAGTTTTGAATTGCTCAACCGTTGCGTACCAGGAGTCCTTTGTTGCTGGTTGTGCTATGTCATAACACAAGTGAACATTTCAAAAATACATATTTTTAAAGAGTGCACGATGACATTAAGTAGAATCACACCTGTAGGCAATATCAATTATTTGTAGTAGAGATGAAGAATTGAGTACCTTTGGCTAATTACTATGGAGAAGCTGTTCTCCCAGCCTCTGAAGGTGTCTGATTCCATGATTTGCCTGTGATGACTTTGAAAGCTAGGTAAAACTGTAAAATGCAAAAGCCATCAATAAGAAGCAAATTGTTACAGAGTATCTCTTCCTTATTTGACTGTCTCAGAACTAAATCGAGAAAGCAGTGACATAAACAAATGTGCACCACCTTCCTGACTCATGCCCTTATTGTCTTGTTCTCCAGAGGAGTCCCGATTCAAGTGAAGAAAAGCGTGAATAACCCAACCTGTCCACAACTCTAAAGCTTTATTATTTTTAAGTCAACAATTTTTTTCTTCCTAAAATGCTGGAGTCTGACCTCATTCTCTGCTTTCTTCTTGCAGTGATGCAGTTTCTTCTTGGAATTTCCATGAATGGCATTATTGTGGTGGTGAATGGCATTGACTTGATCAAGCACAGAAAAATGGCTCCAGTGGATATCCTTCTTTCCTGCCTGGCACTTTCTAGAACTTTCCTGCAGTTGTTTATCTTCTACGTTAATCTGGTTGTTCTCTTCTTGATGAAATTAATCATGTATCCTGAGAGTTTTATAATTATCATGTTTATAAACGAATTGGAACTTTGGTTTGCCACATGGCTTGGCGTTTTCTACTGCACCAAGGTTTCCAGCGTCCCTCACCCACTCTTCATCTGGCTGAAGATGAAGATATCCAGATTGGTCCCGTGGATGATCCTGGGGTCTCTGCTATATGTATCTATCATTTGTGTTTTCCATAGCAAATATTCAGCGTTTTTTGTTCCACGCAGCCTCATGAAATTTTTCTCCCAAAATGCCACAATTCAAATAGAAGATATACCTGCTGCACAGATTTTCTCTTTTGCTGCTGAGCTCTTAGTGCCACTGCTTATTTTCCTTGTTGCTGTTCTGCTCTTGATTTTTTCTTTGGGGAGGCACACCTGGCAAATGAGAAACACAGTAGCCAGCAGCAGGGTACCTGGCAGGAGTGGCCACATCAGCGCATGGCTGTCCATCCTGTCCTTCCTAATCCTCTATGTTTCCCACTACATGATGAAAGCTTTTCTCTGTTCTATAAGGTTTCACATCAGAAGGTTCACCTTTATGCTCTGCATCCTTGTGATTGGCACATACCCTTGTGGACACTCTCTCATCTTAATTTTAGGAAATCCTAAATTGAAACAAAATGCAAAAAAGTTCCTCCTCCACAGTAAGTGCTGCCAGTAAGAGAGAACTTTGAACGGTTCAAAAGAACCCATGATTCAATCACTTACCCATGCAGGCGACATCTCCCTCAGCCAGACAAAGCAGCCTGTTCATGAATATACAAAACCTCCCCTTCAGGCTGTTTATCCAGCCTGAGGTATTTTTATAGATTCGGTACTTTTTCAAACAGTTAAACTGATTTTCAAAGCACAACATATGTTGATGGATTACATCAATGTCAGTATCCTGGTTATGATTTTGTACTATCATCTTGCAAGTTGTTACCACTGGGGAAAAGTGAGTAAATGGTTCGGGAGTCTTTCTGTATGCCTTCTTGAAAATGCATTCAAATCTACAATGATTTCAACATGAAATGTCTGATGAAAAAGAAAAGCACATGTTTGAACTTACGATGTCAGAAGGACACATGAATGCTGTACGGTCCATGTCTGTCTGATGCCTGGTCTTAGATGGTTTATCCTGACCTTGATGGGCTGACTATTCATGTCTGGTCTACCTGGATATTATTTCTGCTCTGTTTGTTGGAGTCACAGGCAATGGAGTCATTTTTTCTTCACGGATCACAAATGAAGTGAGGACAAGCAGGCCTTCTCCATCCTTATAAGCATATTCTCCTACTTCATCCTGCAGAGAACTTAGATGCCTTGGTGACAGGTCCAATCAACTGAGAAAAGGGGAGACAGATGGAGGAGGAAGAGGAGGAGGAGGAATGGAGGGCTGAATGCTTGTTTTCCATTTTCCTTAGCTATGCACTCTGAACAGACAATAACTTGCAAAGATGTTTCATTTTGTATCTGTGTGCCTGACTTTGAGACTCTTTCAACCAAAGATGGTAATTTGGAACTCCTCCTGCATTGCATGTCCTCCCAACAAAGCAACATCAGTAGGTGGGGGAGCTGGGAGTGTCTCCATCTGCTTGAAGTCACAAATGCATTTTCTGTTTGATTGATGATGTTGAATACTAAGATGATAGATGATAGATAGATGATAGATAGATAGATAGAAAATAGATATAGAGATATTATAGCTATAGATATACTTGTATATTTCCAAAACAGCTTCAGAACCGTTTCACTTCCAGACAAGTAAATAAAGTAAAAAATGTTCTTAAGCTTGGCTATAACTTGTAGTTCAGGCGTGATGATGCAAAGTAGGTTGAGGTTTAGATTTGTCAATCACCAGTAATAGGAACCCAAATACAGCTTCTCTAAGCCAAGCCATGCAGGCCTGGTTATGATACACCAATGAAGGATTTTGCTTCAGAAGATTCGGGGATGTACTTATCTTCTTGGGCATGGGAACTAAGAGCTGAGGGTACTCCCAACTTCCCACAGGTTTCACACTTCATTCCCAAAGGAGCAAAATAACAGTCTCCATCTTCCTGCTATCTCATTTTCCCAAGTCCCACTAGGTAGGAAGGTTTGTAGCTAATCACACACTCCGGAAGCCAGCTGTGGGAAGATCAGTTGTATCCTGGATGTAATTATGTCTTTTGATTTGGGGAAAGGAAAAGTCACTTTTATTTTTCTCACATCTCAAGTTCAGGGAATATCCTGTTCCTTGAATCTGTGATATGAGTACCTGAAAGAGTGGGAGCAATTTCAAACATTCAAAGAGAAATTTGTCAGTACACAACTCTCACTTTTTTTTTTCTGGTATTAAATTCTGATTCTATTTCAAGCAATTCCTGATTCAATAATGTTCCCTAATTAGATAAATATTAACATATGACTAGCATTGTATGCTGTTATCAAGAATTGTTTTAAAAAAGAATTCATAATGAAACAAACTATTCTAAAAACATTTTCATTGTCTACTTTCCTAGAAGTATATTTCTTCCAGAAACGTTGCCTAGCTGTTGAGTTGATGAGTATTGGGTAGGACACTAATTGCTCAAATTTAGAAGCAAAACAGACTGAGCCTTTGTCTCTCTGGAGCCACGCTTATCTGCACTCTCCAGCCTTGCCAAATTGCTTTTGTCCTCATCGAGCAGTGGGTTGACCTCTATCATGGTGCAGCATCTTTTTGTACCCACTCTTGTACTTTTAGAGATGGGGCTGGACATTATGGCTCTGGGGCATCTTGGCTGTGGAATCACATGCCCATAGGTGAGGCCGGCTGACTGCTGATTGCAGGATGTGGTAGTGCCACACTTCCTCTACATCCTGTGGCTTCCCAAGGAGATTCAACACCCACTGCTCAGTTAAGTGGCTTCTGGCTGTGGCTTCCAAATAGACTCTGCACCAGGAGGCAGACTCTCACCCAAATGGAACCCAGCAGACTTATTCCATTCCACTTTAGATCAGGATTCAATGAGCAGTTCTAAATCAGGGAAGAAGGGCTATCTTACTCTGTCCCACTCTCTATTCTGACATTGGTTCTTTCAATCCCCAATCCCAGGGGTTTTATAAAGTCTCCACTGACTGAAGATGATAACAGTAACTGAGAAGGCTAAATCTGTGTGCTGATAGAAATAGACTTTTAAGAATATAAATGTTGGTCAGCCATGGTGGCTCAAGTCTGTAATCCTAGCACTTTGGGAGGTTGAGGCGGGTGGATCACTTGAAGCCAGGAGTTTGAGACCATCCTGGCCAACCTGTCAAAATCCTGTCTCTAGTAAAAATTCAAAACTTAGCCAGGCATGATGGTGTGTACCTGTAATCCCAGCTACTCAGGAGACTGAGGCAGGAGAATCACTGGAATCTGGGAGGCAGAGATTGCAGTGAGTTGAGATTGCATCACTGCACTCCAGCCTGGGTGACAGAGTGAGACTCTATCAAAAAAAAAAAAAAAAAAAGAATATAACTGTTGTCATAATTTGAATGTTAAACACAGTTCAAAAGTCTCACAAATGATAAATGCCTTTTAAATTCTCACTCATCCAAATGTGACAATTGCTTGAAGATACAATGCTCCAGACCAGAAGGTGCTAGGAAGACATCTAATGTCTACCATCTGTCTTCTTGAGGCTGATGACCAGGCATCTAAGATGCTTCAGGCAGTTCAAATGTTATGCCCCATAGTATGTTTAAGTAAAGGCATACTTCTCATGCTATGGATATTCTGATTTTAGGTTTGAAATATATCGTTTCCATAACTTTTGTCCTTGTAGAGTTATACCTGTTTAGGTGAGAGGAGAAGCAGGTAGTTAGAAATATGCAAGAGAGAAAGAAACCAGCCAGACCATCGAAATTCACATTGGCAATAAAAGAGATGACAGATGTTACATACAGATGGCACCCATAATGGAGAAAAATCCAAATGACGAGGTCTGGGAGACCCACATGTTTTAAAGAAGGTCTTGCTAGTGAAGGCGTTTGGTGTTAGACTGACCATCATATTAACACAAACTTGAGATCAGTAGAAAATTCATTTGTTAATATTCTTTGTTACCTAAAAATTGCAGACTCTCTAGGAAAACTTTATGCCAAGAGAGGGTTATATACTAGGAAAATTTCCTCAATGACCTGAAAACATTAAGATTTGGGGGAGAGTCAATACGAATTCAAGATAGCTCATGGACACTTGTTTCACTGCTGTCTTTCTACACAAAACTAGTCTCTCTCTCACTCATTAATACAGAACCCTATACCTTTGTAGGATTAAAATAGCTATTGTTTTTAAGATGTGATATAAACATGTGGATTCACATCTGTGACATCTGGATCTACTTAATCTTTTTGACTGGGAATAAGGAATTGGTAATTGGTATCCTTAAATGTAAAATGTATTTATAGCAATGAAGTGTGGGTCTCCTTTTATTATTTTTGGCATTTTATATCATTTCTATTTTGAACATTTCTCCACAAGATCATCAACATAATATTAAATCAAAAATTGACTTAAACTTTTGATGACAGGTCAATTTTTTAAATGACTAAAGATTCATTTTGTTTAAACTTCAACATTTCAGAGGAAAAATGATACAGGGTAACTCTGTTTCTACTTCTGATGTTGGGCTGCATGGTTCGGAGAGAGCTTCACTTCCATGACTTAAACTCTCTCCCCTCCATGGATCGGTGTAAGCACTGCAAGGTAAGCACACACGTAAGTGTGCCTGGTGATATTTGAATTTGGGAGTGTGCAGGGACTAAGTCCTGTCGCTAGATTGGACTTGGCACTTGGTGGGCACCACTTGAATAACCCAAATTCCAGAACTGCTGGGGAAATTCCAGATTCTTCTGAGGATGAACAGATGAAAAGGAGTGTAGAAAATAAACAAGTGGCTAACAGTGGACTAGGATCTTATATCACTAAATACATGGAATGTCCTTTGGCAAAAAAATCCACCCATTTGAACAGCAGATGCTGCATTTGTGATTGTGAATTCGTAAGTCTTACATCGCTTGAAACCCAGGCTGGTGGCTCCTAGAAACATTGACCAGATATAGATTTGGTCAGGAAGTTTGGTTTCATGATAAATGTTCTCCAAACTACCACTGCTTATCTGCTAAATACTTGAAATCCCTGAACTAAGAACTTATGCCTTTGGTCATGAGGTATGATGTTTTCAGCAGCAGTGGTTGATGATGGGTCTGCAGAAGCAGCTCTGTGGGATGAGAGGGAACCTTGAGTGTAATGTTTTAGATTGGGAGGCTAAGTGGATTTGTGTAGTCCTGTTGAAAGACAGGTCATTAGTCCACAGGCAAGCCACACCACTGCGTTCACAAAGCCGATGACACAGTCTCCTCAGCTCTCCTCCCTAGAACCGCACCTGTTTATTTTGGTGATTTAGGTAACTTTTGTGCAATGCAGTAAACACTTTAATGAGCTGAGCCTCCATTTCTTCATCTGCAAAATGGGATTAAGAATAATACATAACACGGCCGGGTGCGGTGGCTTAATCGTGTAATCCCAGCACTTTGGGAGGCCGAGGCGGGTGAATCACGAGGTCAAGAGATCGAGACCATCCTGGTCAACATGGTGAAACCCCATCTCTACTAAAGATACAAAAAATTAGCTGGGCATGGTGGCGCGTGCCTGTAATCCCAGCTACTCAGGAGGCTGAGGCAGGAGAATTGCCTGAACCCAGGAGGCGGAGGTTGCAGTGAGCCGAGATTGCACCATTGCTCTCCAGCCTGGGTAACAAGAGCGAAACTCCGTCTCAAAAAAAAAAAAAAAAGAAGAATACATAACACACATGCTTAGCTAAGCTTCTTCATCATTGTGAGCACAAATGAATGTAACCTCCAGGTAATGGGAACTGTAGTAAGTACTGTTACAAAGAATCTCCAGCAGCCCCTCCAGAGAAGAGGGGAGTGCACAGGAGAAAACACGATGAACAATAGAGGGTCCTAATTAAGAGCATGATTTGCAATCTAAATCCACCACTAATGAACTAAGTGACTTGATGAGCCTGAGCCTCACATTTCCTCATCTTCGTAATGGGGTTAGGAGTGATTACAAGCTTAATGAGAGGAGCTGAGGGGTTACTGGAACCAAGTTCCCAGCATGATGCCTGCATACTGCCATTGTTGTTTTTAGTTATGTTAACCGTAGGGAACTGCTAGACTTCGATGACTTTTCGTCTGCAACAATGACAGTTTTGTATGCTTCTTCCTGATAAGGTCACAGGTTTTGGAGTACAGCTAATTCTAGAAAAAGGAAACAGCACATGCAAAAGTACCTGGCAAAGAAAGGAAGCAAAGATCCAGCAGAGAATCATGCACAAGTGAAGAGAGGAAATGTGAAGGGAATAATTAAAAGGTATCTGGAGCTGCTTTGCTGCAGTACAAAATGACGCCAGGACTGCAGCACCTTCAAGACGCAGGCTCATTCTCACTTGTGTTGTGTGTTGGCTGTGGGTGTACAGCAGCCCTGTTATTGTTCACACTGCTGCAGGAGCAGCTCCTGTTTGGGACAGGTTAGGGGAAAGAGTGAAAACGATGGAGATGGGAGGTCTAAAGCTTTTGTCATATCCAGTTAGTTGCATGTCAAGCAGCCAAGCCCAATGTAAAAAGGAGAGATATGGAATTCCTTAGAGAAGGGTAGCAAATGTTTGGGAATAAAATAATCCTACCATATGGGAATATAAAATGGTGCAATCACTATGGAGAGTAGCTTGGCGGTTCCCCAGTAAGTTAAACATAGAAGGACTACGTTACTCAGCAATTCCATTCCTAGATATGCACCCAAGAGAACTGAAAACAGGAACTGGAACAGATACATGTACACCCACGTTCACAGTGGCATGATTCACAATAGTCAAAAGGTAAAAGTAAAACAAATGTCCACTAACAAATGAACGCAGGGACACTGTGCATGTTAACACAATGCATACTCCTACAAACGAATTAAGTTTGGATACATGTCACCACATGGATAAACCCTGAGGACATGATGCTAAAGAAATAAGCCACACGCAAAGGACAAATATTGCACAGTTCCACGTATATATGGTACCTAGACAGGGCAAAATCAGAGACAAAAAGCAGGATAGAAGTTACAAAGTGCTGGGGGCAGGGGTGGGGAGTGGTAGCTTAATAGACAGAGAATTTCTGTTTGGAACACTGAAAATTTCCAGAAATGGTAGTGATAGTTGCACAACTGCGGGCCACTGACTTATACACTAAAATGGTAAACGTTATTGTATGTGTATATGTGCATAATATATGACGTATATATATCAACAATTAAATGTTATTCTACCAGAAAAGGAAAAGAAGCAGGACCAAGTGTACTTCTACCAGTATATTCTGGCTCTGCTCATGGGGAAATCATGGGTGGCTAAATCTCCATTGTGAATGAACTCACTATTAAACCTCAATTAGTCTTCACCGTTAGAATCAGGTTATGTTTAGGTTAAGCTAGCAGGTAAGTATTGCGCACCCAGATTCCCTTAGAATCCAAATAGACAATTGCCATTTCAATGTGAACGTCTCCTTTTTTCAGAATACACAAGACATTTCGCAGGCCATTGAACACAAACATGTGCAGTGATTGAAATATAGCCAAAAACGAAAACAAAACAAGTCCAGGACATTGTCTTTAAAACGAGGTTAGTTTGCCTATGCTTATGTCCTGAATGGTATTGCCTAGGTTTTCTTCTAGGGTTTTTATGGTGTTAGGTCTTATGTTTAAATCTTTAATCCATCTAGAGTTAATTTTTGTGTAAGGTGTAAGGAAGAGGTCTGGTTTCCACTTTCTAAACATGGCTAGCCAGTTTTCCCAACACCATTTATTAAACAGGGAATCCATTCCCCATTGCTTGTTTCTGTCAGGTTTGTCAAAGATCAGATGGTTGTAGATGTGTGATGTTAATTCCAAGGCCTCTGTTCTGTTCCATTGGTCTATATCTCTGTTTTGGTACCAGAACCATACTGTTTGGATTACTGTAGCTTTGTAGTATAGTTTGAAGTCAGGAAGCATGATGCCTCCAACTTTGTTCTTTTTTGCTTAGGAATGTCTTGGCCATACGGGCTTGTTTCTGGTTCCATATGAAGTTTAAGGTAACCACCTTCCCAGTTCTGTGAAGAGGGGTCAATGGTAGCTTGATGAGGATGGCATTAAATCTATAAATTACTTTGGGCAGTATGGCTATTTTAATGATATTAATTCTTCCTAACTATGAGCATGGAATATTTCCCCATCTTTTTGTGTCCTCTCTTATTTCCTTGAGCAGTGGTTTGTAGTTTACCTTGAAGAGGTCCTTCATGTCTCTTGCTAGTTGTATACCTAGGTATTTTATTCTCTTTGTAGCAATTATGAATGGGAATTCGCTCATGATTTGGCTCTCTGTTTGTCTGTTATAGGTGTATAGGAATGCTTGTGATTTTTGCACATTGATTTTGTATCCTGAGACTTTGCTGAAGTTGCTTATCATCTTAAGGAAATTTTGGGCTGTGATGATGGGGTCTTCTAAATATATAATCATGTCTTCTGCAAATAGAGACAATTTGACTTCCTCCTTTTCTAATTAAATACCCTTCATTTCTTTTTCTTGCCTGATTGCTCTGGCTAGAACTTCCAATACTATGTTGAATAAGAGTGGCGAGAGAGGGCACCCTTGTCTAGTGCCAATTTGCAAAGGGAATGCTTCCAGTTTTTGCCCATTCAGTATGATACTGGCTGTGGGTTTGTTGTAAATAGCTTTTATTATATTGAGATACATTCCTTTATGACTAAAACACCAAAAGCAATGGCAACAAAAGCCAAAATAGACAAATGGGATCTAGTTAAACTTAAGAGCCTCTGCACAGCCAAAGAAACAATCATTAGAGTGAACTAGCAACCAACAGAATGGGAAAAAAATTTTGCAATCCACCCATCTGTCAAAGGGCTAATATCCAGAATCTACAAAGAACTAAAACAGATTTACAAGAAAACAAACAAACAAACAAACCCATCCAAAAGTGGGCAAAGGATATGAACAGACACTTTCCAAAAGAAGACATTTATTCGGCCAACAGTCATATGAAAGAATGCTCATCATCAGTGGTCATTAGAGAGATGCAAATCAAAACCACATTGAGATACCATCTCATGCCAGTTAGAATGGCGATCATTAAAACATCTGGAGACAACAGATGCTGGGAAGGATGTGGAGAAATAGGAGCACTTTTACACTGTTGGTGGGAGTGTAAATTAGTTCAATCATTGTGGAAGACAGTGTGGTGATTCCTCAAGGATCTAGAAATAGAAATTCCATTTGACCCAGCAATCCCATTACTGGGTATATACCCAAAGGATTATAAATCATTCTTTTATAAAGACACATGCACAGTTATGTTTATGGCGGCACTGTTTACAATAGCAAACACTTGGACCAACCCAAATGCCCATCAGTGATAGACTGGATAAAGAAAATGTG